ATGTTGGAGTTGATTTGTCCCTGCAGGCAGTGCGCCTGGAGCACCCTCTGCGCCCAGCCGCTCCACTGGGCCCATCTGTGCCACCTCGCCCACCTGGCCCACCTGGCCCATCTGCGCCACCTCGCCCACCACCTGGCCCATCTGCGCCGCATGCGCATCGCTCCAGGTATCCGCTTGGAGAACCGCCACGCTAGTCTCACCCCGGAGTTGCAAAAAGTTGCCTATCGGGTTTTGTCACAGGCAAATCCAGCTTGCAAGACTGTGTCATGGCTCATTTCTTCCAAGAGAATGATGTCTGGATGTCTAGAACAAACGCAACAAGGGTTAAACAGCTCGCGTCCTTTGCCTACCCTACCTATGCGCACCGAGTAACACATGTTTCTGACTGTATACATCAGTACATGTTGCGCACCATTCCTACATGGTTGAATTCCCCTTGTCGCGGCACAGTGAAGCAACAGCAATGTTTGCGAAACTGGGTTCAAGTGGCGAACCACAGAGCGGAACCCTGAAGGCTTGTGGTTATCCGGTCTCCATTTGCCAGTTTGGGTTTTGGATAGGAAAGCTTGGGGGGAAGGTTGGGTCTCAGAGCACGCTTCTCCAGGAGCTTCGTCCTTGCCCCGCTTTGCCTTGCGCGGGCCCTTGGTCAGGATGTGCCGGTGTGGCTACGGCAATTCAAAAACCTTCGAAGCAATCAGGGTCGAGAGACACATACAATTGCCTAGGCGCAAGCCCCATCATTGATTGCCGGGACCAGTCTAATCATCATTTGTCACAGAAACACCAGTGCTAATAGCCCGTGCCCGCTGGCATCTTCAATGCATGAAGGGCTGTTTGACAAAGCCAGCTGGTCTTCAACCATGAGTGTGATTTCTGCTTGGCTGAGCAGCCTATGTGTGCTGAGCATGTGTGGAATTGGGTCCGTATGTTCCAGCACAACATGTTTTTTTGGAGAAGGCGCGCAATACTTAATCATCAGGACAGGCCGCGTATTCCACAGGCCTCTTTGAGCAAACCTGTGTTTGGCAATAAGACGTCTTGTTTCTTACGTTCCTGGAGACGCTAGTGATGCTCAGGGTGTTGCTGGTGAATTTGGGGCAGGGAAAAAGACGTCTTTTCGCCTAGGTCACATGGGGCTCTTGATACCCTCTGAATTCAATGCGAATTCGAAATTCTTCAACTTGCAAACCATTTTGACGGTTCCCATGTGTTGAGGGTGCCTGGAATTTGGGGTAGGGAAAAAGACGTCTTTTTGCCTAGGTGACATGGGGCTCTTGATTCCCATGTTGAGGGTGGGAGGGAAGGGGGCTTTCATTTAGCCTGCACTCTGGAGGCTACATGAACGCCCCGTGGTTTGCTGCAAGAGTTGCTGGTGACGCTGGGGTGGTTGTTGCTGGCAATGCTGCGGGTGTTGCTGGCGCTGTCAAGTGTTAAAATGGACGACTTTTTGCGGTCTCGCTTGACAATGGGGCTACTTGAGTGTGCTCACTTGTCACGGCTTCACAGATCATTTTGAATTGAACGGGGCTAAGGGAAATCCACTGCCAGTGGCCTTTTATGTTGCCATCAGACACTGGGTGCTTCCCGTTGGCAAGCAACCAAGGCTGTGGCTGCCACGCCGGCGCGCCAGAAAAGCTTGACTTGCTGGGAGACCCAGTATGCCTTGACAGGGGGCTCCGCTTGATGTTGCTCGCACCCTTACTTTGCTCTTTTGATCCTGCTCGGGGCTTTTGTGAGTGGAACACCTCTAGCAATACATTCTCTTTGGGTGGGCGTGGGTGCAGTGTCATTTTGTACATCCATAGCTTGGTTACCTGCAACTTCCTAGGCTGAAGACTGGTCTTCTTCATTTGCGTTGGGGTATTCAACGCAACATTTGGGCTGAGCTGCGTGACTTGTTTTAATGCCCCTCAACTTTAGTCCCTCATCTCCATTTATCCTTTCGCACTTGGTTAGGAACGCGCTTTCATGTTGCCACAATGTAGGCAGGAAGTGGTTGTTGTGTGTGTGGGCGTCCGCGTGTCAACTGTGCTAGCGTTGGTGCGCTAGAACTCCTGCACCATCAGGCCAGCAGGTAAGCTTGTTAAGGTAGCAGAAAATAACACTATGTGCGATGTCCTGCGTATTCAAAAAAGGTACCCATGCTCTTTAAGCTGCTCTGCGGCTTGCTGCATCGCCTTTGTCCACTTTCAGGCAAATCACATTGGTCGCATTATCTGTTTAGGGCTGTTGTTCCCACATTCTTTTTTCTGAAAATGGCACGATAGAGCGGGGTTTGTGGGTGCCGCCTATGTGCTTCCCTGGTGACCCCAGCAGGATTTTGACTGCTGGCTGTCGCCTTTAAGAAAATAGGTTTCAGCGCGCGCTTCAACCGAGGCTGCGCGGCACTCCTTCTTTTCCATGACAAAGTTTGTTTGAACTTCCTGCACAGCTCTTGTTTTTCAGCTTGTTGCCTGCAGGTTGCCACAGCGCACTACATTACATGGAAATGCTTGCCATGACTTTTCAATTTAGCATTGGCAAGTGTCTTTGCAGCATGAGGGGCCAGGGGTTGGCAACTTTAGACTGGATTGGTTGATTTGCCCCAGCTACAAGGGTGGGCGTCAGAAAAATTACAGTAGTATGGGCTCCTGGACTGCTTCTTGCGCTGCTTTACGATGCTCACTTGGCAGCGGGTCAAGATGGGGGTTCTCCTCATAAGGGGCTGGCGATTTAGGATCTTGGCTTAAATGAGCTCCACCAAGGGGACAGCTATTTGCATGGCACTTGCTGTTAGAGGGCGCTCTGCCGGGTCCTTCAGGCCCGGTGAGCAGCTTCCGGCGCGCAGGCAAGGCAGGCTTGCCGGAGTGGGCTGCATTGGGGGCGCTCCCGTGCAAAGACACAGATGCATCGCACCAACAAGGACAACCAACTCATGTGCTGCATTTGTCTCATGCTCAGGGTCCGTGACAAAGGGCTTATCGCAAGTAATTTCTCTTTGTCGCCTGTTCTGGAACTCTACCAGTGGCTGGCTACTTGCTATGTTGCGCAGGGTGTTTCATACCTGAACATGTTTTTAGCGACGCTGATTGCATTCACATTGGCGAACACGCATGCGCTTTATTACCTGCTGAGTACCCATTGAGAAGTGCAGCCCATACGACCTCTTTTTTTTCGAATAGTCAGTGGAGGCCACGGATTGCTGCACCTTCTTCTCTTACGAGGGGTGGCTCCCTTTCATGCGATGGCCTTTCATTGTTGCGCCACATGACCGGGAAGGGGGGGCCAAACCTTTAGCCACGCAGGCACAGCGATCAGAACAACATGCGTGTCATTTGCGCCCGTGGGTTCAGGAAAGGCATGCTTGTTTTGAGGCGGGGCCCCTTGAGAAACAATGGTCCCAAGGCACAACTTGTTTAGTGCATAGGCTTTACTTGTGCGGGCATTAGCTTCAAAGTTGTTGGCTATAAGACACTGCCAGGTCATCGCATCATGGCAGGCACAAGTGGCTTTGCGTATTTCAAGTAGCTAAGCTTCTTACTTGACTTTTGTGTGTGCACACCTCACACTGTCCAAAGATCTTGAGCAACCCTTGCAGAGACTTTGTCAGTTATCTAGCGGTGCGTGGTGAGGCCTCTGGCGCGGCTGTCGCGCAGCAGCTCAGATGCCCGCGCAGAGGCCAGCGTTGCATGCTACTTTGTGGCCAGCGCCTTGCTTGTTTTGCACATCCATGACACCTGCTACACCACCATCTCAGCCTTTTTGAGTGTCAAGCAGTGCAAGCACACGCATGGGCGGGTCCATGTGAGCATGAAGTGTGGCTGCAGCGCCGCCAATTTTCAAAGCCAGGTCGGCATTGCACTTGGGTTTTGGTAGGCAAGGCGGTCGCACATCCCAAATTGCCATGGCCCTGCTGCAGCTGCAGGACCAGCCGGCTGCTGAGGCCGAGCCGGCTGTGAAGGTCGATCCGGCTCATCCATCTGCTGAAGCTGATCCTGGCGCCGCAGCCCATCCGCCAGAGATCGTCAAAGCGGACAAGGCAGCCCAGACGTCTGCCCTCACCTCAACGGCCGTGCAGGTGGACCTACTGTGTGAGAAGGTATCCCGTCGATTGCTCAGCTCGACTTTTGCTATCTGCGTGGCAGTCTTGCTTTTGTCTAGCCTCAGGTCTGGAGACCGACCGCTTCTTGGATGACAAGGCCGATCACCTCGCTTCTAGTCAAGAAATTGTGTGAAATATGTTTACCCTTCTTGGAGCTGCAGCATGACCAGTGTATCCCCTAAGAACCCCAGCGGTAACAGGATTTGATGTCCATTAGTCCAAACCTTTTTCCAAGCAGGCAGGCAACAATGACGATCCTGTTTTGTCAGCCAGGAATTCACTGTGATATTTTTCAGTTTCTCACTTGATTTCAACCCAGTCACCAAGACAAACACGTTTGCTTTTGCTAGCAACTCCTAGCAGGATAAAAGCAACTCGTCTCCTCACCCCCCTTCCATAATTTTACATCCAAGGTTGCGGCGGAACTTGAGAGGCAAGGCCAAACCCTAGCCCACAAGGCAATTCAAACAAACTTGAGCCCCAGGAGTTTGCAGATATTTTGAAGGATGTAGGGAGTAAATTTTCTTAAGCTTGTCAAGGCCAAAGGTCTGGTTTGTTTGCCAAAAAAGTTCGGGGGGATCTTGGACACACGGAGCTTTGTAGCATCCAGGGGGCTTTACGTAGAGGTTCTAAGCCGTCACACTTGGCACAGATCCAAGACCCAAAGTTAGCAGCGGGCTTTTGGGAAACCCTTGGGCCTGGCGAGCTGCGTACGCATCAGGTTTCAAAAACTGTGCCCTCAGTGCCCAAGATTCACAACTCAAGGCTCGTGCCAGGTTTTGGAAGAAATCTTGACTATGGTAAAACTCTAAAATCTTTGGCGAAGATAGTGCTTGAAGCTGTTTAACCTCAGAACACGGGTTCTGGGAGGGTGCTCCAACTTGTTTGTTGGCGGCTTAGTGGCCGCGCAGTGGCCCAGGTGCGCGAGCGCCTTCAGTCCATTGCCCCTGCTGTGTACTGGGGCTTGCAGCGCTTGCGCTGCGATACAGAGCTCTTCGTTGCCGCTGGAAAGCATCTGACATGAAGTTGTAATGTCGCAGGGTATTCCCTTCTAAACATGATGGCGCCTAGGATATGCTGGCGCTCATTGAGCACTCTGACGAAGGCCGCGCATCAGCCCATGCGCTGGTCACCAAGATGGTGCGCATCTGGGCGGCATAGCGCTGATGTTTTATACGTAGATATCAGCACACGCAAACATGAAAACCTGCGCCCCTTCACACCGACTTGTTGCCACATAGTTGCACCCGCGGCTGTGCGCTGTCTTTCTGGGAGGTTTCATTGAAGTACTGCGCAGGCAGCAGTGCACTTGACTGCTTCAGCGCGTCACATAACTTAGTTCACAGGTCAGAAGCATTAAGGGTTAAGGATTCAGCCACATGTCCGGCCCATTAGGCGCTGCTTTCTTGACGGCTTTTAATGACGCAGCCTGTGAATGCGGGCATTTTAACGCCCTTACTTGCTGTCATCCAAGGCCAGGTGATCGTCTCACGTCCAGACGGCTGGAAAACCCATGCCAACGCCCGGCGTTGGGAAAGCCCATCGGAGGTGCTCCGCCAGGCCTGTCGCAAGAGCATGGAGAACATCCAGATGAACATCTATGTGTGGTGGGATTGGGAGCTTCTTGGCAGCGCATGAGTCTGCCAGGCACGCGTACGTCTTAGGGAGGTGAGCGTCGATCAATCTAAGGGACTACGACAAAGCCCATCACGGGAGTCACAACGATGGGGCGCCGGATGCTGCGCAGGCCCATCAGGAGTGCCCCCATCAGGAGTGCCTTGAGCTAAAACATTTGAACGAGTGTGAAATATTTCAAGCTTGTTGAGATTTGTTTCTGGCCTGCCGCATCTCAGGCCAGAATGGAGCGCATCTTGGGGCCAGGGCTCGTCAGACTGGCGCGAGGGCTCATCAGATCACGCTTGGAGCGGGGCAGACTGGCGACAGCGAGATGACGACTGGTCGCGATGGTGAACGTAGTACGCTCAAGCAGGTGCACAAAAAAGCGCGGTGCTTTGCTGCCAGCTTGGAACAGGCATCAGTCACGCGTCTCATTCCACATTGTGCCTTTCCAACACTGCCAGTTGTGCTGATGCGTTTTTTCTCGGCAGGCGATGGCTTCATCGCCTTCCACTGCCGAGGTGGGCTGGGCTACACATCCGGGTGCGCTCCTGACCCCAAATTCTTTGGGTGACACGCCACAGAAGACTCACATGTGTAGGCAGCCTCTTTCCACAGCGCAAGCTTTTCTGCTACTTATTTTGCATGGCTAGAGGCAGTAGCCGCAGGAGTGGGCACTTTGGGCCAGGAGGTGCAAGACCAGCTGACATCACAGAAGCATGTAAGACGAAAGTCCTAACACAGACACACAGGGAAAGCGTTGAACGAAAGTGGCAACCACTAACCTTCTGTCTTTATATAGTGTGGTTAGTAGACAGCAATGAGCAGCAGGCGAACCTCAGTGCCCGCGCCCCATTGCAGATCTCATAGGGTCATGCTTCAAGGCTCATGATGGGAACCTACTCACCAGAGTGAAGAATGATGCGCGGGCCATGCTTGAATACTACGGCGAGCAGCCCAGTTTTGTAACCAAAAGTTGCCGCATCGATAGGGTCATGTCAATCTGTGACGCTGCCTTGCGGAGGTTTGGCCCGGCTGACACACTTTGACCAACTTTACACGGCTCGTACTGTGTGTTCTGTCTGTATACCATTAATACCTCGGGCTTTCTTCGTGCCGGAATTGAGGCCGATCTCGTCAAGAGCGAAGCCATGCTCATCGATTGCCCGGACGCAAGTTGCTCGGACATGTTCATTCGACTTGATTCCTAATTTTCACACAGGAGACCTTTTTCAGTTGCTTAGTGTTTGCCAGCCAGGCTGCGACCAGTTTGGTTTACCACGAAATGCGCTTTCTGAGCTTTGGCTACCCTGATCCTGAGGACTGTCTAGCCAGCATCATGTGTTTTTGTTGCCACGGCTTGTGCGGCAACCCATTCTCTCCACATGAGCCGTTCTCATTTGCCTTCTGTTTGCTTTTCTGTGTCAGACGGTTGAACAGCCTGCTTTTGTCTAGCGCAAAGGGTTGCTGATCCGGGTCGTGTGGAAAGTTGAAAGCTTTGTGAATTGCATCAGGTGCTAGAATCTAGGCCAACTTGTCCAGTGCCTGAGAAGCTGCGGCTGGCTCTTTCCAGTGTTTTAGCACATCAAAGGCAGGCAAGTTGCCCTGGCTACTTCAGGAAGGAGTTTGTGAGGGTTTATGATTTTTTGGCAAGGACTCAGGCTATATCAAGAATGTGTCAGGCGCCCATCTCAGCATCACGTCAACAACCCCCTGGTTTGTAACACGTTCAAGGGACATAGCCCCCCATGCTTTTTGTTGCAAAGAGAAGCTATTCCTGCAATTCAGGACGCTTGACGAGCGCTAATGGGTCTTGAAACATACAGAGCTAGGGCTTGGGGCGCTCAAGCTCTTCACGTAGCACTGAAGGCGGGGAACAGCTGTTTGACGTGTTTCTGGGTGGCTGTGCCTGCGCACAGGGCTTCCACATGAGTTGTGCTTTTGATTTGCGCCCAGTTTTAAGGAAACATGTCGAGCTGCTGTTTGTGTGTCAACTTGCTGCGGCGGCAAAGAGGATGTTGAGGTGTAGACCATGTTTGCTACTCTTCTCGTAGGTCGTCCCTCACAGTGCTGGTAGCGGTTGATCAGCTTTCAGGTTTGCCGCTGCTTGGGTTGTCATTTGCCATCATATTTGGCAACCAGGGTACTCACTGAATGAGGTCTTTGCGCAGCGCAGCTGCTTCTGCTGCTCCGCAGGCCTGGGATTGGGTCGTGGTTCCAAATCCAGATTATCATGTCATGCGTGTTCGTTGTGGGCACTGCTGTGGCGCTCGTGTGTTCTGATGGTCACCGCTCATGCGCAGGAGGCTCCAGAATCTTAACATGCGCAGCTGTCCGTGCGGGTGTGAATCACGCGGTGTAGCTTTTCGGATTCAAAGTGGGGGCACGCAGTGTCAAGTTTGGTGGGCGGATTGTGAACTACAAGTTCTTGTTTGGGCCGGTGAAGCTAGACCAAATGTCACCCGCAGCATGTGAGGGCCACAAGTGTTGGATTTTTCTGGGCGCTGACTTTGGACCCCATGGATGGATCAGACGTTGTGTTGTGTCAGGGTTGAAAGGCAAAACCTTGGTTTTTTATGCTTGCAGAAATTGGCAATTGGGTTGAGGCTGGTAAGCTTTGGCGACATTCTGTGTGTGGCGCAAGAAGGAGCAAACTGATCTTCGCATCCGCAGTAGCTTAGCCCTCGCTACCTTCTTTCCTGTGCGGCCCATGCCACGTTTGCCGATGAAGGAGAACCAGGCCTCCTTGTTGGCCGCAAAGGAGCTGATCATGAAGGCGCTCATGAAGAGGAACATGAAGAAGAACACTTGCAAGGCACGGAGAACACGTCCATGATGAGCGATGAAGAGTGTGCCCGTGACGAGCACGCCTATGAAGAGCGCACCCATGAGGAGCACGCCCATGAAGAGCGCGCCCATGCAGAGCAGGACCTGAAAGACTGGTGCGACAGAGTTGGAGCTCCTGAGGTACCGTCAGTGGTCCGCAAAGTGCGGCAGAGGGATTCAATGACGTTGCAGCGAGCATTGGCGAGCGGTAAAAAGACTCAAGCGGCTCCTGGGTGGTGGACGGTCGCCAGGGCCATGTCGCGTTTTAGAACTGCGTAGCCTTGCGCTGCGTGTGTTTGCTCTTCCTTGGCTGGCGGTTGTAAGCCCGCTTGGCGTGTGTTTTCTATGAAGCTGATTTTGTTTTGGCTGAAGGCCCTTGAGATCAAGCAGAAGACAGAGGGAATGTTTTGCGGCCGTTGGCCCCAGTTCTGAACAGCGAAGCTTACATTTGCCTGCCCTGGTTCAACCCAAGCAGAAAATAGGTTTATGTGGCAAAGACATGCATCTTTCCAGCTTGCCACATACTCTGTTACAGGTTGTGTTTGACATTCGGGGCAGGAATGAGGGGGGAAAAGCTGTGTGGCGCAAGGCGTGCAGGACTTTGTCCAACAGAGCAGTACTCCTTCCAAAGGGACCTCACCTAGGCCTTGCAGTTACTTTGTTTCTCTTGCCCGGCTTGAGGCGCATGTGCTCTGTTTTCTTTGATGGTGAAGATCTATCCCGCATACTTTCTGTTCTGCGTGATAGAAACCTCCACACTAGCCGCCCTGTTGGCGAAGTGGGGCAAGCTCATCTACTAAAGCTTTATGGTACTTGGCACGCAATTTTTTGCGTGAGGTGTTAACCTTGCAGCCGCGTCTTGCAGTGGGAAGAGCCTGTCATAGCTGATAAGCTCGAAGCCGGTCCGCCTCCATGTTGCCCATAGCTGGCTTGAAAGACACGAAAGCTTTGGGGGGGGGGCTCCGCTCATAAGCTTGCTACACAGGCCACTCATGGACGTTCATAGGACTAGGCACAATGGAGGATCGAAGTGCACGGCGTGTGGGCCCATCGCATGGATTTGAGCGGTTTTTGGCTGGGCCCATCTCGCAGTGAAAGCGCTTCCAAGAGAGTGCCAGAAGCGCCGGGCACCATGGGCCATCGGGTTTGAGACGCTCAGCTTTTCGGAAAGTAGGGGTGTTTGTTGCGGATCCACTGGGGCCTTCGGGCTTCAAAAACCTAGCATTTTTGGTAGTTTTCAATTCTTTGTCCCAGTCGGATCTTCTTAATTTGGATGTGTTTTTGTTTGTTTTTTTGGCGACTGTGTGGCTGCGTTTGTTCATTTGTGGTTTTTTTTGTTGCTTTGTTGTCTTGGGAGGAAGTTTGCATTATTTTTCTAGACCCCTTAAAACAGTCGCCAAGATCTAGAAAAAGTCTGCGGTATTTGGGATACCTCAATCACAGTTTGACATTATTTCAGGGCAAGAAGTCAAGAAGCTTCAGGCAGTTTTCGCACACTTTTTTCTGGCAAATTGCCTGGCTTCATGAGAGCAGCAGCCCTGCGTAGGTCATGGGCAGAGCACCAGAGCCTATGGCAAGAAAAGCGAGGTGTGGACAGCGGCAGCAACGACGCCGCGGTGTTCGACCTGTCCCAAAACGCGTGGTCCATCGGCTCATGGACGTCAGCCAACGGCTGCCTCCCAACATTCCGGCGAAATTCCCGCCTGTGGCTGGCACGCAGAAAGCGCTTGCTATGCCCAGTAGAGGTTGCCAAGTTGATGGGCTTGCCAAGCTCATCACATGTGCGACAGAAGACACTTGGCCATGATGACGGCCCTTGTGTGTGCACGTGAGATATAGCTTCTCAGACCAGGAAGCATACGCGAATCACAGCAAAATGTAGCCCACAGCGTGTGAGTGAGGACCACGAATGAGGGCTGCCTTTCTGCATGACAAGGGAGTTCCCAAATTAGGCTGATACTGATGTCCTTCCAACCTCCAGCGAGCTTTCTCATATGAGGGCAGACATTTGGGCAGCACTGTTGGATCATGACTTTCAGTTGCCGCAGGCTTGAAAGGAAACAGCTGAGAATGCTTGGACTAACTGTGGGCCCAGCAGCTGGTGAGAAGGACCTAGCTGATATCCTTCACACCCGCAGTAGCGTCATTGAGGCTCAGCCTGATCAGCTTTTGCTACCCATGCCAGCGAAGGCAAATCCGGCCCTCCCCTTGGCCGCAAAGAAGCTGACTACGACGGCGAAGCGGTGCAAGATCAGCACGCCTGTGAAGAGCATGCCCATGACGAGCACGCCAATGAAGAGCACAACCATGACGAGCGCACCGATGAAGAGCACGCCCACTAAGAGCACGCCCGCGAAGAGCACACCCATCAAGAGCAAGCCTATGAAGAGCGCGCCCATGAGGAGCACGCCCATGAAGAGCACGCCCATGCAGAGCAGGACCTTAAAGACTGGTGCGACAGAGTTGGAGATCCTGAGGTACCGTCAGTGGTCCGCAAAGTGCGGCAAAGGGATTCGATGACGTTGCAG